GGTCCAAGTCTTCCGTTCATCCTCCAGCTGAACAGCATCCATTTCACACCGTTACTAACAATTGTCGAAGTGGTATTACAATGTTTAGAGCAATTGGCGTAATTGTCTCACAATGACTTAATGTATTATTATTCTGTAGTACAAACTACCCTGTTGGTCAATGGGTGGAGGAATGTGACGAAAACATTTAAACATTGTGTGCACTTGGATTAAGGATTTAAGCCTTTCTTAGGTATGTCTTTTTATATCCATTTAAACGCTCTTCTTGTGTGGTTATGGTTTACCAGTGTGAGCATGGATTAGACTGTGATAATGAATGTAAATAAGGACATTGAGCTATGATTATTGTTTTATATAAAGTGATATTGAACATCTGAGTGGACTAAGGCCCAATCCCAACACACCCCCAGCCCTATCCATAAATCTTGCATGCTCCCATAAGCGTAGTGGTATTGCAATTCCTCTTTGCGTTTATGGCTTGTGGATATAACAAGGGATTGTGGTTATGGCCCTTAAAAAAGAGAAAAGGGCCAGAGACAATTCAAAGGAAAACACAGAAGACAAAGATTTTACGGGCAACTGAGTGTTTTTGTTTTTATACTTTTGGAAGCCAAACAAAGCCGTTGGCGTCAGCATTCTGAGTTCACCTGTTTCTCCCGGAATCGGAGGCTAGGTTAGGCAGTGTTTTGGAGCTATGACAGGAGCAGCATGAAATCAGTAGGAGAACATCGGCAAAGATACAGTATCACCAGAAATGGAAAGAGGCCCCCTATGGAGCTTAGGAACCACAGCAGCAGATTGGAGTAGGTGGCAGCGTACAAAACGCACCACAGCGGGGAGAGAAGAAAGCAGTGTGCCCAGTTCTAGCTCAGGAAGAGAGCGGAGAAGCACAGCAGAAGATTGAATGCTAAAGGCGGGGGAGCGAGGGCTGACCGACCGGGTGCAGGATGGCAGTAAAACCGCCAAAGAGAAAGACCAAGGAGAGACTAAAGCTGGCTGGAGTTGGAGACAACCCCACAGTGGAGGAAAGAAGTCATCAGCTGGTCAGTGCAGCAGGTAGGAGACGAAACAGTCCTTCTAGGGCAAAATTAAGACAGCTGTTTTAAAATCCACCTGAAAATCATTTAAGAGTATTCCCCACTCATCACTTTTAAAGACCAATCATACCAGATATAGGAAAAGGATAGTTAACGGAGCTCAAACACTTAAAGGAATAGTACACCCAAAACATGATTAGCCTTCATTTTCTACTCACCCCCATGCTGAACAACATTCTGGAGTACTTTTTTGATATCTCAAATGCATCTGGAGATCTGGGAGGCTTCTTGCTGTCTGCTGACATTCAAATAATGGAGGTCTATGGCGCCCGAAGCAGAAAGGTCCATAAAAGTCCACAAAAAATGTGTCAATATTCCTCCATACTGCTCGTCCAATGTATTCCAAGTGTCCCGAGTGGGTAGCATCCAGAATTTACTCGAAACGAAGTCATTTAGAATGTTTTTAGAGCATAAACAGTAGTGTATAGGATTTCCTGAAAGTGCGCACATGCGCGTTCACGACGCTATGGAAGCCGGCAGACCAAACCAGCGCATTCAGCTCGGCAAAGAACTCATGCTCTTCCTCAACACTGAAGTCCTCAGACATTTTTCTTTCGTTGTTTCTTTCTTTGCACAGGTAAACAGCACATTTCTTCTTCTACGCTTGCATTATTGGCAGAGCAGACGTTGAATGCGCACTTTCATCTGGTTTGGTCTGCCGGCTTCCGTAGCGTCGTGAACTCGCATGTGCGCGCTTTCAGGAAATCCTATACACTACTGTTTATGCTCTAAAAACATTCTAAATGACTTCGTTTCGAGTAAATTCTGGATGCTACCCACTCAGGACACTTGGAATACATTGGACGAGCAGTATGGAGGAATATTGACACGTTTTTTTGTGGACTTTTAGGGACCTTTCTGTCTCAGGCACCATAGACCTCCATTATTTGAATGTCAGCAGACAGCAAGAAGCCTCCCAGATCTCCAGATGCATTTGAGATATCAAAAAAGTACTCCAGAGTGTTGTTCAGCATGGGGTGAGTAGAAAATGAAGGCTAATCATGTTTTGGGTGTACTATTCCTTTAACTCCCTTTTCACAATTTCCGGTTCAATGTTGTTGTTTTTTTCCTTTTAAAAAAAAGCTTTGTCTTGTTTTTTAAGGTGGCATATCCATGCATGTGCATATGTTAATACAGCTGCAGCCATTCAAAATGGCCCTTCCAAGTCAAATGCCAGCCGAATGGCAGCCAACTTCCCTCCAACTTCCAGCCACTGGAGTTGGAGCTCTTGCATTTTTTTTTTTACTCTGACTCCAACCTTTCACTGAATTACCGGATCTGACAGGGAGATGACACTTCTCTTTAGATCTTAATGTCCTCAAACCATGACAGAAAGAATATTTTAGTACAAAGATTGAAGTTTAAAAACGAATTGTAGGGTACCTGCCAAGGGAAATTTTGAATGGCTACTACCATTGGTCTGGTTGTAAAAAGAAAGAAGGCGGATGGTGGATTTTTTTTTCTTTTTTCTAATAGTTACAGAAGCATACATAGCCTAATAATATTCTCTATGAGCCTAAAGCAATATGCATGGTATGGTTGTTACATGCCAGGTACGCCGGTCATTGACCTTGACCAAGGCACCTTACAGTAGAACTGAAAGGTGTCAGTCACTGGACTGGTGTGGCTATCACTGCCCTCAGATAGTTAGCCACAAATGCAGAGGACAAATTTCCCACTAGGATCAGCTTCATAGTGATGGCAGTTTTGATTTAATTTATTTCACTCAGGCTACTCATGAGCCCTCAGCCCGCCAATTTAGATGGATATAGTGATGGATAATGGCATTAGCAACTGCATTAGAATTTCTATGAAAAATCTAATCTAATTGCTAAGCACATATTTGTAATGCTGTTACGTTACTTGCAATCTAATGCATTGTTCTTTTTGGAGGATTTTTTTACCACACTAGTGGGAGAGACATGCAGCAAAGGAACACAAGCCATATTCGAACCCATGTGGGCCACATCAAGGACTAAGGCCTGTGTACACTTGATTAATTGAAGTGTTCTCTGCTGTGGCAAGTTTTACTGCAGGGGGGAGCAGGGAGCTGAGATAGACATACGTGACGCTGATGGCTGTGGAGCTGTAATCTTGGCAGCTGTTCAGCATGCCTTAAGAACAAACTGAATAGAGAGACAATGGTGCAGAGCTACTGATTCAGTGACAGAGTTCCTAAAGAAGCACTCACTCAAGTCAAAGGTTAAATGTTCCTGTGAATTACTAATTATATGTGGTAACAAATACATCAGGTGGATGCAGCCGTAATCTAAAGAAGCTCCTCACATCATTTAAACACTGACCAACAAATGGCTGTCATCATAAATGCATTTTTTTTACTTTCTCAGCTTTGTACTGATTTCATTAATTAGTTTGAAAAACATTATTTTCCAGCTTCAAATAGGGAGTTATACATTATCAACTTGCACTTATCCCACCCTACATCCCTGAATGGTGCAGATTAGCATTTTCAGATATGTTGTCCTTTTAATTAATTAATGAAATCATTAATTAATAACATTTTAGAGTTTTTATATTTTTTCATAGTAATTTCATTATAAGAGGAAGGTTGAATTCTTTTTTTTGAAAGAGAAAATTACTAACCGTTGACTAGAAACTATGCAAACATTACAAGCTAATGATGGAAATATATAAGTATATTCATTTCATAAAAACAATGAGTATATTACTAATAAAATTGACAAGAGTTAATACAAGTATATATTGATATCCAAAAAAACATTAAAAAAAAAACAAAAACCTCTCAAAACGAAGGTTACAAAACAGAAATAGAAGACCTTCAGATAATGAAAGCAACATAATCTATGATTCTTTCTTTGGATTCTTTTAGGTAAGGAAATCTAAGTTTTATTATACCTGATGATCCCTTTTAAACTCCTAAAATCACATCTTCCTTATATTGTACTGTATTTCGAAATGGATTAAGACTTTCTACCTATAATGTTGCTTTGTAAATGTATCATTCAGGTGTTAAAGTGTTATGTTTAACACTTAAGACTTCAAATACGAAAAATATACGAGACTGAGTGCACCATGTGCAAAGCTGGCACACATGCTTCTGTGTCTAATAAAGGTGCTGGAGATCTCAAAGCTCACACTGACACTAAAAAAACAACAAAAAAAGCTGTGCATGATGAGAGCTCCACTGCAAAGTTGACTGAGTACTTTGTTAGACCTGGGAAAACAGAGAATGCTGTAAAGAGGTAATTTGTTGAATCTGTATTTTCTAATACAGAAAAGGTCATATTTAGCACATTATTTGATTTTATGTGGTAATTTACAATTTAGGTATAAGAAAGCATGTTCAATAACCCCTGAGAAGCCTGTCTGAATGCATCTCAAGGCTGGGCATAGTGTCCTTTTTGGAAATAAAAATATGGCCACCCTATATTGTTATAACCCCCCCGACTCCCCAGAAATAAAAGATTACTGATAAAAACTGAAATGCTGACATCATTAGCTGTTTGATTTTTTTTCTATTTATCAAAGTATTTGTTTTCAAATTTATTTTTGTTATTAGTGTGAGAACCACCAACACCCAAACTACCAGTGTAACACATTTAATTTCCTAGTTTAAATAGGACAATCAAAAGCCCTTTTTCACCTGCTAGTCTGTCTATCTTTATAGATTAGGTCATCTATGTTGTGGTTATTAGACATAGATTTCAGGCTAAGCAATTCGGTGCTCCTAGTTTGAAATCTCTCAAGGTAAAGGCCTAAATATAGACCACATCCTTCGGGGATTTTGATGTTAAAATTAGTTTTAACTGTAAAATCAATAACAGCAATAAAATATTTTTTTTCTAGAGCATACAGTAGTTACATTTAGCTTTAGAGATATCAAGGTTTACATAATTTTTTAATGTGTAAAGTGTATTTTACCAGCCATGTGGAGAAAGGTCTCGTTATATAGATCCGAGGCATTTCCACCTGACAAAGAAAAAGACAATTTTTTAGTAGTAATATCACCATGTAAATATCCTAATCACTATTTATAAAATATTTTTTAAGATAGAATCTGAGGTAGCAAGATATTTAAACCCTTGATGCCCCTTTTTTGCAAATATGCAACAAACCCTGTGTGTACACAGGCAAGATACTATGTTCCTTCCCCCAGTACCAGTTATTGCATACTCAGTGTGTACCTACATACCTTTAGCAAGATATTGTTAATTCCAATCGCTGTATGTCATTAAACACAATAAATGTTGTCACAAATTCTATAATACACCTACATTTTTAATTATTTTTAGGGGAAAAAGAAAGTTTAAAAATTTGAATTTGGCAACTATTACAGGCAAAAACAAAAAAAGCTATCTATCTAGTGTGGGAGAGACAAGAGATATAAAATAACATAATATTGAGTATTATTATATACGAGACTGATCTCACATAAAATACTAAAGCACTGATCAGTACTATAATAATGAAAAGTCTGAAGTGTCTTGCTGTTCTCTGCCTACCACAGAGCACCTGTATATCTCTTTTTAGAAAGGGTTATTTTTTTCTTGTTTGTGAAACCTTGCATTAGAAAATGGATAATATTAGCACGACCATCCATTCATTGGCCATATCTATTTAACCTTGTTTTTTTAAACTATGTTACAACATTTCCACCTTTTTTCAGTATTGACATTTTACCTCAGCTTCCTCTGGTAATGGCCCACAGACAATAAAAGGAAAATTAGATAAAGATATTAAGAGAAACATAGAAAAACCTGAGGATGATATTTTCTACTTTCTTCAGTAAGTGATGTAAAAGCAACCCCAATTTGCTTTAATGGCTGAAAAAATGACTTTCAAATATGCACCTTAAACTTTATGCACACAACTACTGTTAAAATTAATTGGTCAATTGAACAAATAAGACTGTTATGAGTAATCCCTTGCCACACCCTCCCCTCACTCAAGTAATAAGCTCTTGCATCTTGCCGATTTTTTAATAATCCTTCAGACATAGTGATAAAATATTAGTTTAAATAAGGCATTGTAGTTCACCTCTATACATTTTTTTTGCTTACCTGTAAGGAGGAGCAGAGTAAAGAAAGCTGCTAGCGTCATCCCTGTGAGGTCAGTGAACTTCTGTCCGTTATGTTCAGAGGTTTGCAGCTGGTCTTAGTCACTGCACTGCCTGTAAGGGAGGGAGGGTGGGGACAGTACAACAATATGTTCTCCCCCATTAAACAGGACATGTATGTTGTAATATAAGGTCAGAATTTTTATGTTCGTCTTACCAAAACATTATTTCAGAGGTATTAAAAAGATAAAATGAATATTAATAATTTGGTGCTGTATTTTTTTTTATATATTTTCTAAGTTCCTTCCATAAACCAGGGAAAGGGAAATTATGCTTCGCTGAAATTTTCCGGTCTTGTTGATTCTTTCAAAACCAATACATGTATTCAACACATCTACCGTGTATGAGATAAAAGAAATGGAAAACCACATTAATATATACTCCAGGGATCAAAATAAACTCAAAATAAATATTCTATTCCTCTATACAAATAAGTAACATGACTAACTTTTTTTTTTTTGTGGTTGCAATGAATGAAAGAGCTCTCAAAAACCACAAACGTCCCGCTCAGGTTTTTTAAAACAGGATGTGGAAAAATAAAGCTTTTAGCTGATCACAAGTGGTTCTTTTAGCAGAGGAACTTATCCTAGGGACTCCATCATCTTCATCAATAGTGGTTGAACTGGACTACCTCATGAGAATCAGAGAGAATGCAGAGAGTGTCCAAGGCAGCAATCAAAGTAAAGGGGTTGGGGGAATTTTTGATGTTCTAAAATGTTTTATGTAATTTTACTGATGTTTTCTTTGATAAACATTATGTTACACATTTGCCACCAAGATTTAACATCTTAATAATCTACAAAGTAAAATAAAACAACTGTTTATCAATAGAGATTATTTTATACAACAATCATAGAAGCAGTGGGCCAGGGTATCAAAAGCAAGTAATGAAACAGCAATTCAAACAACACAATTCATTTAGAGATAAAGACAGCATGCTGAACTATAATCTAAAACCTAATCAGACTGAAATAAAAGTATAAAGCAAAAAGGACAACATTTTAGAGCCAAAAAGCTGAACCTAATAAGAGGTTTGAGAAAAATTATTTTTTTTTCATTTGCTTTTAATATGCTGATGATTTGCTTTTAAATTTAAAGATTGTAGAAACTGGAGGTGTTGGGTAAGAGAATTTCAGAGGGGTATACCACATTGACTAAAAGAGCCAAACGTTGATCTAAAGTTAATTCTTGCTATTTACTGATATTAAAACAATCACAAGTATTTTGAAAAGAATTAGCATTTTAACTGAAAGCTAGGGAAGAGATTTTCAAGTATTTTCTTATACACTTAACATTTTGTTTCTGGTTAAAAGTCTTGCTGCAGCATTTTTTATCAGCTGAGGTTTACTGAGAAACTGTTTTAATATTCCAGCAAGTGCACTATAGTTGTCGTGTTGTGCAATAATTATATATTCAACCCCCCTCCTCCTCACTTCAATGTCATACTTGAAATAACTAATCCATTGATTGTACAAAAACCCTTATATAAATATAACATAAATATGTAAAGTAAAATAATACATTTGGATTTGACATTTTACTGCCCAGTTTAGCAAATGTCACCTCAAGAGCTTCTAAAAGGGATCACTGAAATCAGCCCAGTAAGGTCATTTAAGTCCCTTTTCATCGGTTACCATTTGCATGTTTCCAAGCGATACAAGGCTCTGTCTATATAAGACTCAAACTCACTGCGGATCCAGACATTTGAATTGAGAAAGCTTCCTGGAGAGGTGGCGAAACGTCTTCAAATCTTGGAAACCAAGTCCAGTGGATATTTTTACGGAGTCCCTTTTCTGAATTTGTCCTCTTTATTTATTTATTTAGTGAAACTTTTTTTTTTAATAAATAGGTTAGTCTATTACTAAAAATGTCCTTGTGTGTTATACAAGAAAATGACACAATAACAAATTTATAGTAGATTTTTTTATTTTATGTTTGCTCCATTGATATGAGAGATGTACTTACATATTTCAATAAGAGGTCTGGCATTGCAGCCTGCCAAGAATTGTTCAGCCTCCTTTGCCACACCATGGGATCCTTTCTAGATTTGCCACTGCCAAGATCTACTAAGGACCTGAGCTCAAGATGAGCAGCAGTTTTGGTTACTCTAGCCAAGCTGAGTTTAGCTGAGTATAACTGAGTCTTTGTTTCACTGAGCCTAACCTTGTTTTTGTCTTTGCCTTTTCAGCAGGAAGTCATCCTGCAAGCTGGATGTTTGGTTTCTCAGGGTCCAACCAAGTCTAAACCTGTCCGTCCTCCAACGAGTCTCTACCTCTGAATAAACCCACACCGACTCCAACTCTTCCGATTCTGGGAAGAAAGTTTTCTCCACTAATGTGAGTCCCGTTTTCTCTGTCTCTCTAAGTCATCGTTCAAAGTCCCCAAGGATCCTGAACTAACCACTGATACTTCCCTTCCTTCTTCCAGTTCCGGTTCACCAATACACTGAGCTTTCTGAATCCTACCCCCGCTGATCTTATCAATAAACCTGTTAACACTTTTACCTTGGTTCTCTGAGTGATTTACTGCATGTGGGTCAGATCCCTTTAAGAAAATCATGACGCTATTAGAGAACTTGCGAGAACTTCGGCGGATGGTCACAAGAACTTCTTCGGCGGTGCCGGCTGGAGTGTTTGTTTTCCAAAACAAGATGTCTGAGGCATCGTACAAGTGGTTGTACTTCTGAACCTCCTCAATCAACCTTTGTCCATTGTTGTTATTACTCCTCAGTTTTTAAAAATGGCGCGCCCCTGCACCGAATCAAGAAGAACGACCACACAGACAGCCAGAAAGGCATACCAAGGACCAATCACAGCTACATGAACTTAGTAATTTAGTGAATGGATTTTTTGACTTAACCATTATAATGTACTGATTCTAGTAATTTATTTCACTCTAAAGAACTGTCCCAATCGCAACTGCCTGTGATTCGCTATTCTGTGTCATAGGACGTTACATCAACTGCTAGCATGGGGGCGTAACTACTCCGCAAAAAAGTTATCCCCAAAATGATTGTTTCTACTATTCAGAGTAATACAAGTGTTAAAGCGATCACATATTATTTTTCTATATCTCTCCAGAAGCAGGATACCACATTATAGCAATAGTTGACAAAAACAGGATGGCTGATAAGATGTAAATAAAAGCAAACACATTGTTGATTTTTTGAGCCACTCTGGTCCAGTAGTAAGGTTTCTTATCTTCATGTCCATTGCAGAGGAGATTTCTTTTTTTCTTGCTCTCTCTGAGCTCATCTGATATGTCCTCCATTGCGAGGGGCACCTCCATATGTTTGGTTGTGCTTTCCTGTTGATGGTTCAGTACACAGATTTTAATGAATATATAAATCTTTACATTTATGCCTTTAAAAACAAAAATTTCTCACCTGTTTGTTCAAAGACGGCATTTCATTGAATGACATTTTTTTAACTGATTCTACATGGCTCTGTTTCTTTAGCCCTGAAACAGTAAATAAAAGCTTGCTTCATAAGATAGATGAATTTGAGATCCTGATTTTTGTAGATAGTTCATTCTTACCTGTGAAACAGCTTTGGACTATTTTCAGTTTTTCCTCTTGATTATCATGTGTTTCATTGTCCTGTTGTGCATCTTTATCAGTTAGATAAATCACCAAAATAGTCTTTAAGAGACTTATTAGCATGAGAGTGAAAATCCCAATGCAGTAAGCCACTTATGAAAAAAAGAAGATTAATTAGTAGAAATGGTAAATATTGTTTGCAGGGGGTTATGATAAATGGGAACTAAAATCATCTTTACCTGTTAGGGGGATCCTGTCTGATGAACAGGGAAGAATGTCATTTAGGATGAGCTGCATCACTGTGACTGACAGCAGAATAGTGATTTTAAAGGCAACCTTTTCACCACTGGTGTCTGACATCAAGAGGGAGCCAAAGTCCAGACACAAAAAAAAGAAAACAGGCAGCAAGAAGTTTGCAATATAGAGGACAGATCTCCTCTTCATGTTTATCTGTGAAACAAGGTATCAGTGTGATTATCATGCGCTGCAAAAAATTAGATCTAATTAAGTAATTTTTTCTTAAAATAAGTGCATTTTTCCTTGAATTGAGGAGATAAGTGAGACAATTTGCCAATGGAACAAGACAATTTACATGTAAAATAAGAAAAAAAAACAGCATTGTCTTATTTGAAGTGCATATTATCTAATTATCTTATTCTAAGAATAAAAATACTAATTCAGGTAAATCATATTATTTATCTGCTCAAATAAAGGGTAAATACACTTAATTTAAGAAATATTGACTTATTTTCTAGATTGTTTTTGCAGTGTGATCTGACCCAAGTGCAAAATAAACACATTGTAAAACAAATCTAAATATTTTCTTAACATTTCAGAATATCAGACTAATATAAAGTTGAATTTCAGCAGTTGGAATTTGGAGGGAAGTTGGCTGGAAAGCAGAGGCCATTTGGCTGGCTTTTAGCCTGAAGGGGAACTAACCGCTACCACTCTATATTTGGAAATATTAAAGGTGTTTTAAAGGTAATTTGCGACTCATTGCTTAGGATAATAATACAAAAATCAAGTTAACTGTTGCTTTAGTACAAAAGCCCTTTTTCAAATCAAGGGCATAAATGGCAGTGGGGGGTTAAAGTTGAATGGCCTGGCAATGATTAAAAAAAGAAAGAATAGCAGGAACCCTTTTTTAAACTTCAAAGTGGATTTCTGTCATAAGGTGAAATATTGTGTACTTTACCTCTGTAAATTAAAATGAATTCATTCCAAAGTAACAAACTCATTAAACACATTTAGTCCTATAAAACACCACATTACATACAGTATGATCACTGCAGCCAGCCTAATTTTACTAATAGAAAAAAAAAATATTGCCCACTAAACTGGGACAGCGTGAACCCTTAATACATAGTAGGAAGTTAAAGGGAAGCCTATCTCCTCTTTAATATTCTATATGCAGATCTTAAACCTAAAGCTCTTGAGCCATTCAGATATTTACTGAATAAAACAGTATACTTGTTTAAGGATGACAGGAATGAAGATTAGAATTCAAGAAATGTTGGTTCCTCCTTTTGCAGCTCTTCAGTTCTGTACTGGCCATCTTCTGCCCTCCTTCACCAATCACTCCTAAACAAAGTGACACCTGCCCTCCATGCACCTTTTAATGTCACTAAGGCTGTGGTCAAAGGGGAACGCCATTTTTTTTTTTCATTGAGCCCTTGATTTTACGTTATTACATAATGTTCTAGTCACCCATATGAGTTTTGTGTCAGTTGGAGCCGTTCTGAAGATATTTTGTTAGGTTATATCCAAGTAATGTCTTCCTATGGGCAACGACTTGAAGGCACAGACTAAACTGTTCATAATTTATTCTTTATGGTACACCAGCATTCATAACATGTAGGGCAATCACTGTCCCCCAGACATCTGCAGTTATATTTTTATATTTAGATTTTTTTAAAACAAAGCCAAGTGTGTATGACGTCATCCGCGCATGCCGGCTGCCGTTCATTCATCCTGTCCGCTAAACTGCTGCTTACTTACATGCTGCTTTTACTTACATGCCTGGAAGATGTCTAGTGCAACTACCACAGATGATCTCGCTCTTGAAATGGAATTGAACGGTTCAGATTAGCTAGCCGAATGAATAGAAGGGGTAGAGCGTAGCCGTCTGTGGCCCGGGCTGCCTGTCACAACTCCAGTCCAGCGCGTGAATGACGTCATACACACATCCATGGTTAGAAAGGTTAAAAAGAGATAAAGCGTTGCAGTTAAAAAGATAAATATTGATTTAAAAGCTGGTTATTGATATAAATACTGCTTTAAAAAGACTGAGAAGTCCATTTATGTTAAGAATACAAGTTCTTAATGTATAATTGTGTAAACATAATACTTAAGTGTGTAAACTGTCATTTACAATGATTTGGTTATGACAATGCAGAGAATCAGAGTAAGAGTAGTAGATGAACATAGTATTAGTGGAAGTATGTTTCTACACCATGTGTGTAAATTGGTTTAATTTTTCTGCTGGATCAGGAATCAATCTGCATCAATTCTTAATCTCAATAGTTCAGTAGTGAGCCAAACGACAGGAAACGGAGAACAGGATCTGCTCCACGAGGATTACAGACATCTACCCACTTCTCTAATACATATAAGCGCGCTCAATACAAACAAAAACCTACCCGGGTAGAAGGAGTGTATGTGAACAGACAGAAAAGGACACTTTTATTTGAACTTTTTCTTTTTTTTTTTAGTTTATCAAAATGCTCTATTTTGTTTGGGGTTTTTTTCTAAATCTTTGTATTAACAAAAAATAATAGTAATACCTGTTGAGTGCAATAAATGATCATTGTTCAACTTTCTGAACATAGAGAGTGTGTTTTCTTCCTAACATTGAGGATAAAAGTGCTACAAAATACACAATTATCAGTTATTCCATTTTGCTCATTTGGTTAGCTGACCAAGAAGTTAACTATTCATGACTCTCATGTTCCTAGAATTGATAGCACAACTCTGTTCCCAGAGTCTCCATGAAATATGCAAACGTCAATCACACTATATTACACATTTGCTTAGTTGGCCAAGAAGCCTAGCTCTACAAGCCAGACATGACCAGAGCCTTTTAAGTTATCCCTATCCACCTTGATTTCTGTTGTTTCCTGGACCTTTTCTGCAAGGTGCTTACTACTTTACACGATGTGTCACATGCAGTTCTACTGATTAGTTTCTTTCTTTCCATTTTGTCATTTTGTGTCTGGCTCAGTTGATTTTTTTTTTTTACTTCCTGTTTTATTTTGGTTCACTAATTTCTGTTTTAATCTCAGACTACTTCACTTCCTGGGATTCCCCTTTAATCAGCCTTCCTGATACTGTTCACCTGTGTCTTGTTGCAAGTTGCCTCACCTATTCAAACCTCTTCCTCTTCCAGTTCGTCTTTGTGACTTGTGTCAAGCGTCCCAGCCTTTGTTCTACATTGCCTAGCAGTTAAGCTAGTTGATCTATTTGTTTTTTTGACCAGTCTTTGTTTTTTTAGATTCTTGTCAGTTGCTCCAGTCATTGTGCTGTGGCGCATTAAATAATTTTTTTGACTTAATTTCCCTGAGTTGAGTCCTGCAATTGAGTCCTCTTTGGTTGCCTCTGACAGTATGGCTTACCTTCAGCTGTCGGAGTTGCCCAAAATCTATGACTGTCAGAAGCAGTGTGTTGAATCCTCAGTAACAACTACAAGCTCCCTTATATTTTCCACCATCTTGACAATTTCCTGACAGTAACCACCCTATTCTCACATCTCACATCGCCCACATCCACCCATGTTCTAACCCTGTCTAAATATTTGGGGATTCTACGTGGGCTCCAACCAGACCTTCAGATCACCTAGATGACATCACCTCTAGTTCTTCAATTCCTTTAACTCCTTACCTCAATATACCTTTAAACTTTGAGGTGTGGTCCTTGTCAAATTATTTTCATTGGCCAACTTATGTTAAGGAATACCAAACAACACCTCTGACTACCAAACCATCTACGTATACCCAGTTTATCTAACGTTCACAGTCTGTTATATTCTTTCACAAAATATCCAATGAAATACTTTACAAACAAAAATTTGAAAATATTCACAGAGTATGAATAGTAATGAAGGGCACTATTAATAAAATTGTCAAGTGATGGGTCAGTCAAAAGCCCAATTTACAAGTAATCCTGAGAGGCGCTGCAAATGTTCTCAGGGTTATTCATTTATTTTGCAGATCTCCATAGTATAGCAATGATTAACAGTTGTAGCTATATACTTACAGTGTAGATAATCATTGTTTGGTTGAAGCCAAAATGGCTGACTGTTTTGTTTGTGACTGTCATGCTGATAAACAGCCATTCAGACTGCATCTGCATGGCTTCACGTGACCACTCTGTCACCTCTGTGTCGTTGGTGTTGTAGTATAACATTATTTCTTCATCTACACAATTAAAAAGAAAAGTGTGTTACATTTTTAGCTGATAAATATAGTTTTAAGAGCGCATTTCTGATCAGATTCAAGCGTTATAACCGTCTCAAGATGTAGGAACAAAGTGGAGGCTTACCAGGGTGCATTATTGACTTGAAGGAGATGTTACAGCTCTGAATGTCAAAGGGGAATCTATACACCTGCATTCTGCAGGTGCTGATGACCACCTGGTCATTTCTATATTCAACCCAACCGTGACTTCTGATGTTGAGATAAGGACTCGGAGAGGCTTTGTCCTGCTCTGTCCTGTATAAGTCACACAAGAAACACATTTTATGATTTACAGTAATTCAGTAACACTATAACATGTCATACTTTGTTCATAGGAAAATAATTCTATAACTACTGGTGGGCCGTTATTGGCATTAACGTGCTGTGTTAATGACAGACTCTTATAGGGCGAAAAAATATTGCCGTTAATCTATGCCCTTAATCTATTCCCACAGTTGGGTTGGGAGCTGGGTCTATACTAATGATGACTTTCACCTTAATATTTTACCACGGATGTATGTCTGTTCTATCATGTTCTACTCACCCATATGAATTTTGTGTAATTTGGAGCTGTTCTGAAGATATACGGTTAGGCTATATCCAGGTAACGTCTTCCTATGGGTAATGACTTATAGGCACAAACTAAACTGTTCATAAATGATTCTTTATGGTATTCCAGCATCCTTAACATGTAGGTGAATTACTGTCCATCACTGATCCCGCTCTCGAAATGGAGTGGTGGGAGCCTGATTGTGGGGAGTGGCCTAGTGGTTAGGGCATTGCGCTTGGAATCTAGAGGTTCAAGCCCCACTCCCACAGATTGCCACTCTGGGTCTCTGAGTAAAGACACTTAACCCAACACGGCTCCTGAGGCACCGCACAACGGCAGCCCTTCTGCTCAACTCAGTTTTATTGGATCAGAACCTGTTTAGGTTTCCGGACCAACAAGCCCAGTTTCTCCATTGGAAATCCAAAGTGGTTAACCTTCGACTGAGTGAGTCTCTTCACATCCCTGAGCTTCATTTTCTTCTGAGTATGGTTAGTCTTGCTCTTAATCGATCCAAGCCTAGAGTGACATCGCTGCCAGACCAAGCCCTTCTCTGAGATTCGCCAAATGGCCCACATCTAGTCCCCTTTCCTCTATTGGGACTTTTAGAAGTATTATTTTTTTTGGTTCATTTATTGTACTTTAGTCAATAACATAATCTCTCTGTAAAAAAAATAGTTTTTTCAATTTTTAGGGAAACCTAAGCATTTCACCCAATTGCACTAAAACCGGTGGGAAAGGAAAACATTCACAATCGTCTTATGACCATGGACCACCATAATGGCAAGTATTTAGGAGTGAATGCCAGATCTATAAGATGTTCTATCACATATATTGTTAAAGGTCGATTTGAATTTATTAAAACTGAATTTAAACTTACATTTCTTCAATTGTCAGATCAGGAATCCACAAAAGTTGAGTGGGAACCAAGATGTGATCAAGCCCACAGAAATCTTCTGGATTCCACCAAATGTGTTCATTGTCCCATCTCTAGACAAGAAAACAAATTAAGAGAAAATTACAAAATGAGTAAGAAGAAAACTAATAAGAAGTGACAAGACTTTTAAAATATGCTTTTCAAAACACAGTCATGTAAAAAGTGTTTTTCCCTGTTACAGATTTTGATGTTTTTTGCCTGGTTACTCCTGAAGTGTTTCAGGCATTCAAACAAATGTTCATACATATGTTAGTAGCTATATAAGAAGATCTAAGTAATATCAATAACCAGTTTTCAAAGCACTATAATTAATTGCTGTGTAAAAAATCTATCTACACATCATGGCAATTTAAAAAACAATGTAATTACCCCCTAAACAGCCACAGATCCCACCAAAAAGATTTAATAGCTGGTAGTTCTGTTACCACTGTGAAGGCACAAAGCCAAAAAATTATACAGATGACATACCACTATCAGTGCATGGATGTGCCAAAATAATGGCAGACAAGCATGTTCTCAGCACAACACCGGACAGAGAGAGCACAACGCAGGGTAGATGCAATGGCCGAGTCTGCCATGCTTTGGAGCTCAGGCAGAAACACTGGGAGGTCAGAGAATGAGGCTAGGCAGAGAGTGCACTTAAAGGGCAGATTAGGTGGCTGACTATTTCTTCTTCTAATTTCTTTTTTCGTCTTCTTTTTTCATGTTTTTCAATTGTTTTGCTACTGAAAATAGGAACTTTGTACCTTAGGCAGCAAATCAGCCTTAAACCATATTTAACTGTCATACAATACTATGTTGCCTCTATAATAATTTGTTAGTGTTATGCAAAATTGGTGCATGACTCACAGAAAGTTCCAGTTTCCCAGAATTGATCAGGGTCAAGATGATTTTGGGCCAAACAATCCTTTTTGCTCAATTGATTTTTGCCTTGAAAACCTTCCTTGTTGTTTTGTTTTGTTGTCCATTCATTTTAATCGTTGAACAATGCACCTAACATAGACTGAGGCAATTAGGATATGCAATGTGTGGCAAAAAAAAAAAAATAATAAAAAACTCTCCAGGGTGGGCAAATACTTTGCTCCAGCACTGCAAATGGATTTTATACAACAGTGGGTTTGTGTTAGGTGCTGTATTTCTAGAAGCTAGCAGAACACTTACCAGATAAATCCAAATATATGAAATGAAAGACTGGTCAGTTTCTCTCTGTAAATAAACACATGCTGTTAAGTTAAATTTCCTTTCATCAGGCTGCCGAACTCTTTAATACGGTAATATCAAAAGAAACTGTTCAAAAAATATATTTTGTCAATGTACACCTCTGCACATAACCTGGTTGTGTTAATCAATTTTAACACTTAAACTGTAAGAAAACTGCAGGTGAAAATGCAGATAAATAAATCAAAGAAAACTCACCACATCAAGAATTGCATAGACTTTCACTTCAAGGAAGATCCATGATGAATGGTTGTGGTTTTTTACAGGGCGGCTTAAAGTGTAAATTTCACTGTTATTGGTCATGTTCAGGTATTTTAAGACAGCATTAAAGCTACATTCTGCCGGACCAGATACTGGGTTTCCTGAAATTAGATAAACATACAATGTAGGTGACAATGATGAGCCCTTGATCTCAAGAAGTACGACATAGTTGTGTTGAATAGTCCAGCCATGTCTGCTCATAATTGATTGTTATAGCCACATTATAGATTCACATTTATTTTATTAAAATGGTTACACTAAGGGATTGTGTCTCCTAAAATCCACTCTACTGTCTATATACAGGAGTAAAAATGATGTGCCAGAATCCAATTTTATCCTGTGCTAAGCACAATGTGAATTCCTTCAAAAAAGATTCCCACCTCGAATGTTTTCATATATCTCTATAGAAGTTTTATTTTTTGAGCTGTGCCTCAGGGTCTCAGCAGCCGCATCTGGGAAAGCTAAGAAACAAAGGAAATACAAAAAGTCAATTAAAGTTTAGAGTAAATAAGGGTTGTGGTCCCTCTGTAATTTAGCGGGCTAAGTCTACGTCTTCAACATAAAAATTGTGGTTGAAATTGTGGATGCGGTAGGAAGTGGATACGGCATAAAAGCTCTGTCAAATTTGTGTGCAAGTTGTAGTGACTTCCTGTGGTGGCCCTTGAAGGGAGCTGCTGAAAGGATTCACAGTAAATACATAATAAGAAAACACAGCACAATAAGATCTACTAAAATATCATTGTGTTTTAGAATGAAAATCAAGCCTAAGATTATTTTTACACTTTTAGAGGGTATATAATTGTAATATTAGCATGGGAATTATGTACATGGGTATTTATTTGTTTGTCATGTTTGATTCTCATATTATAATGTTGTTATGCCATAAGCCATGATATGCATTTTGGACATTTAGGATCAATGTCCAGGGTGGTAACTTGGAGCAATGGTGGAAAAAGATGCAATTTGCTCTGCTGCACCAACTCCCAAACTGCTGAATCACCTTCTCACACAAGAAACTCCAACAGCGACATTTGATCCTGTCCGCCACTGGTCTTAGGGACAAAGGTGTTACATCATAAACTCTCATTCTCTTTTGCATGGACTCCCTCTCCCAGAAGAGTCCAGTGGGGAGATCTATTGAATTGCAAATGAGGATATTCATTCTTAAACCCTTGCTCAAGCTAAGCCGGATTGCTGGTGATCCCAGAAGAAGATCTATACTGCAAAAACAATCTAGGAAGTAAAAAAATCTTAAATGTATTTACTCTTAATTTGAGAAGCTAAATAAAATTATTTACCAATGGAATTAGTATTTTTAACTCTTAAAATAGGACAGTTCAATAATATGCTCTTGAAATAAGACAATGCAAGTGTTCTTTCCTATTCTTAATGTAAATTGTTTATTTCCATTGGCAAGGTGGTCTTTACCTTAACTATTTCCTCAGGAACAGGCACAGAAGGTTAATAATATTTAACTTAAAGGTTACTGAGTAAGGAAATAATTTAAGAAACTATTTCAGCAGTTCTTGTTTTATTTACCTCCATGGATTTGAATTGTGAATTGATTTGAACGCATTCCAGTTGCTCTAAATTAGTTAAAAGCTAATTTGATCTTATTCCCAACTATTCAAAATAAATTTGGTTGTCAAACAAAATCGATGCTTAACTGTAATATAATTGCATATTTCTTTTTATGGTTTTCAACCATTTTTTGTCTTTTTTGTGTAAAGCTATTTTTATTGAGTTTCACTAGTATAGTCAATATTTTTAACTGAAATATCTTTGATATTGGATTTAAATAATTTTTTCAAAATTTGTGTATATTTTGAAATAACTTTGTTGTCATTTTTTCCCTATTTGATTTAAATTAAAATTACAATTTAATTTATAGTCCTAACACACAGCCAGTTGGGAATGTGTTCACAGAACAAAACATGACAGTCTGCAGGCTTTTTGGGTAAATAATGCATTCCCCTTCACACTCCACTGGGTTGTGCATTAAATATAAAATTATTGCGTGAATAACAGAGCACTGGTATAAAACATTGATATTTTTAGGAACGATAACATCACATTGAATGTTGAAGTCATATCGAGGAAAGTGTAGATGATGGCCTCAACATCAATGGACACTATTCTCAGGCAAGTCATTCTAATTAGTGGGTCACCTTTCTTCCTCTCATCATTAAATACACAGACATGCACAAGCTGTAATAAGATATCTCTGATATAGCAAACTCTGAATGCGGAACCCCTGATCACTTATTTCAGGTTCTAGTTGCATGTAAATAAGAAGGATGGCACTTCTTTATGCTATTATCTAAATCATCCTTTAACTTTGCCTTAATGTCAAGAAAAAAAACAACAACATTGGATAAAATAAAGCTATGCTTTGACAGCAATTGCAAGCAATATTAAAATCTAATTTTCAAAAAACAGAAAAAAAAATCTCTTTTAGGGAGCAAAGAAGATACTTCTTAAGAGTATGGCTGAACTATATTTACAGTGTCTCAATTAATTTAGATTTTCAGATGATTTTAATAATTAAAATTTCATAGGAAGCTAAACTTATCTCTATTACCTCAAGTTGCATATGCATGCATTTGCTAACCTTACCTGTAAAAAGAAGCAGAAGGAAGAAACCTAAAGGCATAATCGCTGTGAGATCAGTGAGCATCTCTGTCAACTCCGTCTGTGCACAGATGTTTTTATGTCACTGCCCTGCATGTATTGGATGATAGCCTAATAGCTAGGGTGGGCTAGACTGAATCATGGCACATAGGCATTTATGGTGGTAACACTAAAACAGGCTCTAATCAAAGGAGCAATAAAGGTTGAGGTCGACTGGATCACACAATGTTCAACAGGCTGAACAAAGATTTCACTGAAGCAGTCCGGCATCCAACAGTTACTGTAATAATGGTGACAGGCTTGGTCTGTTCCAAGGAGTGTGGTTCAAGGAACAGCTAAATACCTGCATACACTCCATAAGCTTCCAGGTAGCAAGGAAAATTTTATTTTCCCACCTGACTTCCTATTATCTCATTAATTATTCCACTTTTAATAATGCTTTTTGAATATAAAAAAAAAACTTGAACACAGAAGTGTCTTGGTGGACTGTAAACACCCACAAGGAGGCCGATTTCATTCCCAAACCGACAAATTATAAACATGACTCTAGAGCTGACTCAACCCACCAAGCTAAAATTTGTTGAAAAGACAATGTGAAGATGATGTTATTTATGACCCAACAACATCTACATTTGGTTGAAAAGTGAAGGGAGAAATCCAATAATTTTCAGATTGCTGAAAAGTCGCTGAAAACTGGGTTTGCAAGGTCTTTTCAATGTTATTGGACAAAAGTGGGAAAAATCAGACCGACCAAAGAAAGCTCAATTTTCAACAATGATTTTTGGACTAAATGAAGACTATGACAAACCAGCAAGACCTGGCCGGCCACACTGACCCACACAGTGTACGAGTACACAGCATATTAGTTTGGAACGCAGCGGGTACAGCCTGACTTCAAAGTTGCGACTAACATAATCAGCGGAAACAGATTAAAACCAGGCAGCTAACTATGGATAGGACAAAAAAAAAACATATATTTTTTGCAAAAAAAAAAAGGCAGCGGGTGTCACAGCAGCCAGTTGCTGTCATAAAACAGGGCAGATGGACCCAGTATTCAGGCAACACAGACAGTGGGAAAAGTTTAAAGTTTATTAGCAAAACAGAAACTGAACAGAAAACACGGAGCTGAGGATCTCTGCAGCGGCTGCGGGGGGAGGAGGGGCGCCACCCATCACTGACACTGGTTGAGGGAGAAAAACAGGTAAGTGACCTGGTTTAACAGTTCAGTCCATCTTCTCGGGGGAGGCAGGATCCAGCCGATGGACTGCCCAACAAGATGCGGCACAGAGGCACCCAGAGTGTCCCCGATTCAGCAGCCCCAGTGAACAGGCAGGAGTCCAGGCCAGGTCAGGCAAACAGCTCAAAACAGGACGGTTCTGAGATCCAGGAGTCCGCAACACGGTTCCGATCCAAATAGGAACAGACAGATCCAGGGTCCCAGGAATTCACAGAGCATTAAGGCAGGTTCAGGGTTCCATGAGTCCAGCATAGAGTTCAGACAGACATGCTCAGAAGGAGAAAGGCGGGCTCAGCAGTTGAGAGGTAGAAACATGACATAACACCAGGAAAACTGAGGAACTTTAAACTGATTCCCTCCACTGAGCCAAAACAGGAACAATGCACGCTCAGTGGATAAGAGCCAGGACTACAGAGCTTAAAACTACCTTCCCCCCATGAGGCTAACAATGGAACCAAACGATCCGCTTGTCGGGTTCAATTTGCATGTTTCCAAGCAATACAAGGCCTTGTTTTTGGTCCACTAAATTAAGCCTCAAATTCAATGTGAATCCAGACATTTTGAATTGAGAAAGCTTCCTGGATGGGAAGCGAAACGTCTTCAAACCTTGGGAAAAAAGTCCAGTGGATTGTTTATTAAACTTTTTAAAAATGACTATGACCTGGATGACTGAGAATCTTCACCAGCATGTATCTTCCTTCCTGCCTGAAAACCCAATATCATTTAAGTGTACATACTGCTTTTTATCCTTATTTCCTTTCTCTTTTTTCTTGTCTAGCTAATCTTGATATGACGAGGATTGGAAACTTAATGTCAACTACTTGGCAAACAGAGAAGATTTCCACTTTTAATGCTGATGACATACTGGCCATAAGCACTTACTGAAGTGCTGAGTGTATAACATGAAACCACTAATGAGCATTAGCTTGGCTAAAACCAGGATGTGGTAAAATGGGACTTTTAAATATGTTGTAATTTGATGTTCTATTCAATTCCCAGCCAGCTGGGAATTTATACTTCTGATACTTTAAGATGTTTATTGCCCTCCCTGGTAGGGGTGGTAAATATCTTATTTAATCAGATATTATTTTGGCTGTTATATACTGTTTATGAACACACACCCTACTAGCTGTGTGTTAGAGCAATAAATGAAAGAGGGATTCGAGCACTAATCATGGTCAAGTAGCTAATTCTGGACATGCATGGAATAAATTCACCACAACTTCTGTTCAAAATATAAGAGTTTATTAACAAAAATCATTTAGCTCAAAGTCAAACATTTCAGTTTAAAACTCTTAACTTAAACGAGTGAAACTCAACTAAACTAAACTAACTACTATGTGCAAAGAGGAAGGGGAAACATGGCTGAATATCATATTACAGTTTAAGATGGATTTTGTGTTTAAAAACCAAAGTTTATCTGGAAGAATTTGGAATATGATCAAATTAGCTTTTCACTCATTTAGAGAAATGTGAATGTTTTCAGACCAATTGACAATGCAAATCCATGAGGTGAATAAAACATTATTTGGGCAAATAATGTTTTTATTAAATTATTTGCTTAATCAAGAACCAATAACCTTTGGTCAAATCATTCTTTACCCTCTTTGAAATAGCTAGCAGCGCATAGACATGAGGATTCCATTAAATTACTCTTGGGTATACTTGGTAATCGCAATGTAGTGAGCATATGAGGAACACATGAACACTAATGTTTTATCAGTGTTTAAGCCCTTAGTGAAATGAAGCTTGTTCAGACTTCAACAGCAGCTCAAAACATGTTTCTGTATAGCATAGCGTAGTATGCAGTCCATCCTGTCAGCTTTGTCTCTACTCATCAGTAAACACATGAAATGATCAATATCATTGAAAGACATATTGTTTGTTCTGTCCCTAATTGTGCCAGACCTGCAAACCCTTTTGTCCATTTCCATTGGCAGGCTTGAGTTTCATCCAGCTGCAGTTCGGCAGTCAGGGCAGGCTCTCTTTTGTCTCTGTGGCTCACAGCAGGGGTCCTCTTTGTCTCAGTGGCTCATCAAGGCAGAATTCTTATCCATTCTGGCTCTATAAGTTTTGAAACTCAAGTGAAATGTGTTGCAAAAGGTCTGTTTTGCAGCAGTTTGGTTCTGAAAGGTTCTGACCTATCCTTGATGATTCTGGAGATCTGGGTCCCCCTGGGCCTTGCATCTCCATCTTGCCAGAGATCCTTCCAAAGCGGACCCCAGCTTCATGGGCAAGAGAGCAGGAAAAGAGAAGGAATCTGGTTTTGTCTGTGGTTTTCTACTGTCCTCACCCAGAGGAGGCTGGTTGGTCATACCTCTGTGGGGGATCCTGTGGAGGTTTTCCTTGAAAAGGGGGTGGGGGTGGAGAGATCTTATTGCTGGTTATTCCTCAAACATTTATTTCCTTCACTGGTCATCATGTCAAGATAAAATATGAACAGTGGTTCCCAATGTCCAAAAACCACGATCTTGGCATATGGAACATGTCATGATTTTCTTAAGGGATCTGACCCATGTGCAGTAAACCACTCAGAGAAACCAGGGTAAAAGTTTAACAGGTTTATTGAGGAGATGAATGGGCTTGGATTCAGGAAATTCAGGGTACTGGTGTACCGGAACTGGAAGTGGGAAGGGAAGTATCAGAGGTTAGTTCAGGGTCCGTGGGAACTTTGAACAATGACTTTGGAGAAACAGAGAAAACGGGACTCACGTTAGTGGAGACAACTTTCTTCCCAGAATCCAGTCTTGTGTGGGTTAACCAGAGGGAGGAACTCGTTGGAGGGCGGACAGGTTTTGATTTGGTTTGTTCCTGAGGCACTATGGAGCTGACTGTCACTTGGAATCCAGGAGGTCTTGAACGGAACTTGTGGAGGTTAATCCCCTGCTCAGTGTGAGTCTCAAGCAATCCTTCCAGGGGAAGAAGGCCAAAAACATCAACATACTCTGGCTGCCTCCTACAGTTCAATACATGAATGTTAAGTTTATTTGCTTCTCTAAATCATCTTTTGGTGTGTTTTCGACATGGTTGTATATCTCCATGTGTGTTTGTGTTGTTCTCTAAAAGACTGGTGACATGTCTAGGTTGTACCCCTCCTGTCACCCATAGACTGCCGCAGATAGCCACCGGCTCTACTGTGACACTGACAGATAAGTGGGAGAAGATGGATGGAGGACTGCCAATCTGGATATAATTTTCAAAATGTAGTGAGAACATTTAAACAGTGTAGAATATCCTCCTGTTGTTATTTGTTATAACAATGCAAACCTCATTTTAACCCAGTTGAAAAACAGGACCACTATGTTAAGGTATCAGGCTCATTTGCACTAGCTTGTTGTTTTTTGTTGTTGTTTTTTTTTCAATCTTAGACGAGTTTCTTTGTCTTTTACAGCCAGATAGTCAGCTGGGTTCTACATTTAATCTATTGTGATCAACGGCAGAATGTTGACATACCAAACTCAGTTTACCTACCAATTAGTGCAACATTAACGACAGTCCTCTTTTTTTGCATGAAAAGCCTTAACATCAATGCTTTTGGGTCTGATCTTCACAAGGTCTGTGTGTCTTGAA